CAGAGATGTGCCCCCCAAAAAGGATGGGTTTTCCAACTTTTGGTCACAGCTGGCTCTCCTACAAAGGCGTCTTTGTAGCAGGAACCTGCTGGTCAATACTGCCAGGGAGAAGATGCTAATTACCGGAGCACAGTGGTAACCGTCCATGTGCAAAGAAGCTATCTATCATGGAACTTCCGGATGTGTTACTGAAAGATCCGAGCAGTAAACAGGGCAGCAGGACTGAGCCCCAGCCATGGGCAGCATGTGGGGGGGGTCAAGTTGCCTCCTGCACACACGATAGTCCTACAGCTTTGCTTCCATCACAAGTACCTAAATAGAGGTGATCTCTCCAGGATGCTGAAATGGGGTACAGCAGCTGGTTCCACAGTTCCATAGAGGTGCCTGCCTCTTTCCCTAAAGTCGCTGGACTTGGGCCAGGAAGATGCCAACGGGGGCAAGGATGTCTGTCTCAACAGCGACACCGTGTGGCAGGACCAGCAACAACAGCCAAAAATCCTAGACACCATGGTTTTCCAGGTTTAAGGAAAGAGAAAATACATTCTCACTGTAAGCAGTCTGGGGATAAGAGAATGACTTCAGGTAAATATTGAAAGAAATCTGTGCCTGAAGCTGATGAATAAGAATGGTAACAAAGGCAGCTCCCTTTTGTTATGTATCCTCCATGATTCAGGAATGTGAGGTGCTTTGCATCTGTCAGCTTATTTACTCTTCACAGCACCACTTAGAAGATATGCATTTCTTTTCATCAGTTGAGGAAACTGTAAGTTAAGTGAAGTTAAGGAGCTTGTCCACGTTTACATGTACCAAGATGTGGTAAAGTGGCTGTTCTGACCCAAAACTGCCTAATCCCCAACCCGTACTCTCTTCAGATTCCAGAGAATATGAGAAAAATAAAAGGAGTCAATGTCCTGGGGCAGAAGTCCTTCATTCCACTCTCTGTCCCCTGTAGGTGTGGAGGGAACAAGAAAAATCTAAGATTCCACGAACCCAAGGATAGCATTCCTACAGATTGAAAATTCCAGTTTCTAACATCACCACCAGATCTTATAAAATATCCACACATTTTCACCTCCGATTTTTCATTGTGACTGGTAAAAATCAGTGGTCAAAGGTATCAATACATAGTATTCTTCTTACAATATATGTCATGCAGATTTCCTGGGCACAACGCTCACCTTTGTTTAATTTATTTTTATTAATTAAGATAGAACTTTGGGGGCGCCTGGGTGGCTCAGTCGGTTCAGCATCTGAGTCCGGCTCAGATTCATAATCTCATGGTTCATGAGTTCAAGCCTTGCATTGGGCTCTGTGCTGACAGCTCAGAGCCAGGAGCCTATGTCAGATCCTCTGTCCCCCTCTCTCTCTGCCCCTCTTCCATTCTCTTTCTCTCTTTCTCTCAAAAATAAATAAAATTAAAAAAAAAAGAGTTGGAGGCTTAACCGACTGAGCCCCCCAGATGCCCCAGCAGGGGGATCTCCTGAATGAGTCTTGAAGTCCAGGAGTTTGAGAACAGCCTCTCTCTCCTGCCCCCAAATCGTTAGAACTGGAAATACATTTGTTTAAACCCATCGCTGTCCTAGAAAGCAGTGACCAGAGGTCACTGGGTAACTGTGGTAAATAGCTGCAGAACAGGGGGCATCCATCTGAAGAAGGAAACTACAGCTTAGGGTGTGTCAGAAAGCTATTGCATCGCTTTGGCACAATTATCCATGAGAATTGAAAGCAAGAACTCAAATATGTCTTCAGGCTCCCCTGGCCATAGCAGCGTTAGTCACAAGAGCCAAGGAGGAAACAGCCCAAATGCCCGTCAGGGGATGAATGGACAGACAAAATGTACATACATTCCATACATATAATGGAATTTAGTCAGTCTTAAAATGGAAAGGAATTCTAACACGTGCTACAACATGGATGAGCCTTGAGGATGTTACAGTAAGCTAAATAAGCCAGTCACACAGACAAATACTGTATGATTCCACTTCATAGAGTCAGAAAGTGGAGTGATAGTTGCCAGGGTCTGGGGGAAGGGGAGTGAGGAGCTAGTGTTTAATGGGTGCAGAGTTTGGGAAACACTCTGGAGATGGATGGTGTTACTAGTTACACTCAGTGTAAATGTGCTTAATTCCACTGAACTGCATGCTTAAAAGTGATTAAAATAGTAAAATTTTATGTTATGTATACTCTACCACAATAAAAGAAAGGAAGCTTTGTGAAGCCGGGTATGAGCTGCAGAGAGCTCCCAGCCTGGAGGTATGGTCTGGGGGGACCAGGGCAGAGGGTGACTGTCATTAGGCAATTAGATGGAGCGTCCCAGGAGGTGGGCCTCATGCAAAACAAACTACACGTCCAGGTGAGTCGTCCAGGTGAATCGGGAGAGTGTGAGTCCCTCTGCTGGAGAGGTGGGGCAGGGAAGTCCAGCAAGATATCATTCACACAGGGGATAAAACACTAAACCACACTCCATACTCGCATTGGAACGCACATGTGTGTAAACACATAGAAAAAGATCTGGAAGCATACCACTGACTGCGATATCTCTAAGGGAAGTAAAGGAGAATTAGAGCTCTCCCTGAATGTTTGGCTCATTTGGAGTTTTTTTGTTAGGGCTTTATTTTTATTTTTATTTTTATTTATTCAAGAGAGAGAGAGAGCAGGAGCAGGGGAAGGGGGCAGAGGGAGAGGGAGAGAGAAGCCCAGGCAGGCTCCAAGCTCAGCACTCAGCACAGAGCCCAACAAGGAGCTCAATCCCATGACTGTGAGATCATGACCTGAGCTGGGTTTTTTGACACCAAGAAAATATTTGTGTATTTATACAAGCATATATTTGTATAAGAATAACTTTCTGTTTTAAAAAATTTTTTGTGTTTATTTATTTTTGAGAGACAGAGAGAGACGGAGCATGAGTCGGGGAGGGGCAGAGAGAGAGAGGGAAACACAGAATCCGAAGCAGGCTCCAGGCTCTGAGCTGACCGCCCAGAGCCTGATGCTCAAACCCACGAACGGTGAGATCATGACCTGAGCCGAAGTCAGACGCTTAACTGCTGAGCCACCCAGGCACCCCAAGAGTAACGTTCAATGAGAAGAAGATGGTGTGCTAGTTTCTTTGTTTTAACAACGTATGTTAACCAACATAGCAACATCTTTTGTTTGACAACGTCCCCCAAAGGTTTTAGGTATCATCTAGGTGTAAGCTGTATCTATTTTCATAGAATTACAAAATTTTGTTCCCTTGAGGACATGCCCTTGACCTTTGGGGAACACACAATGCAGGAGAATTGTTCCCGCAACCCCTCTAACCCTGACTCCAACGCTCGGCATTTTAAGCGCACTGAGGATTTGTCAGCTCCACGCCAGCCTGGTCGGTGCTGCAGCTAAGCAGCTTACCTCTGCCCCCTCTTGACCTCTCTCTTATTTTGTGTGGGATATTTTGTGAATCAAGTGTGCACCTGGGAGTCAAAGAGTCTTCAGTTCTGACTTGGTCCCTTGTTTAAAGTTATTCTTTAAACATTTTAAAGCATTTTATTTAAATCTCCATGCTTCTCATTCCTCATTTCAAAGCCAGTAATAATACTAGTGGCTGGTATCATAGAATTGTTCCAAATGCTAAAGGAGAATAAGATCATCTGCATGCAAACCAGTAGAAAGGGGTATTTGTCTGGGGAAAATATCCCAAAACATCTTGGGAAGGTTCGCGACACATGGAGTGCTGTATGGGTGCAAGACTTGTTCCTCCAAAAAAAAAAAAAAAAAAAAAAAAGACTTGTTCCTCCAGCTGAACTGGAAGCCTGTCCAGGGTTCTGTCTGCTGCGTCCCACACAGAGCTTTCAGGCTGGTCTTCATGGGTTATCTGGCCTTGGTACGCTGTGAAATGCTCATCCCAGCAGATGGCACAAGTGAACTGAGTCAGGGAAAAGCAGTTCGCACATTTCACTATCCACAGAGAACCAAGTTAAAGCATCACGCCTTCGTGTGCTTCTGAAACAGCGCTGGACATTGACTTCACAGTCGTGATTGAGCTTTCCTTACAGTGTTGGGTCTGAAAGTCGCGACGATAACCCTTGTATCAAGAAATACCATGTCGCTGAGATTCACTTATTCAAGAACATTCATTCCCTGAGCACCGCCGAGGTACTGGGGACATAGAGATGGACACAAAATATTCCCTGCCCACAGGGAGTTCACAGTCTGGTTACAAGCCATCAAGGAGAGGACAGTTTGCATTTTGGAGGGCTGTCTTATAATGATAGCGATTGTCTGAATGTGACAGGATGGGGGTTCAGGTGGCCCACGTGAGCCATCCTTTCTGCTGCAGACAGTCTGTCCAGCCTCACTGTGTCAAACCCAGCTCATCATCTCTGGTCTGGGTTCCTCCAGAGAACTCCTAAGATAACTCCCTTACTTATCTCAAGTTCATCCTCAGGGTAAATCTTTCTTAAGTGCAAATATCATTTTGATATACACCACCCACTTTACAAGATTTAACAGCTCTTCACTGACCTCATAACACTCATATCCTTAAACTTACTCACAAGACCTTTTGTGATCTGACCTCTGCTTTCCTCTCCTGCCTCAACTCTCCTACTCTCCCGCAATCTATACATTAACCCAAGAGGTATACTTTCAATTTCCCAAATGCCTTTTATCCCTTGCTGATCTTTGCCCAGGCTGTTTTTCTCTCTTCCCAGAATACCATAAAACTAAAACTCATTCTCTCCCACTAGCTGTCGTCTGTAAGCTGGCTCACAGTACATAAATTTCAGGTTTCAGATTAGATGTTACTTCCTTGGGAAACTACCTCTTACAGCACAGGATTAGGTACCCCATAGCACTTTCTGCTTCCGTCTTCCTAGAATTGACCCTATCTCTTCATACTAGGTTTGCCCTGTCTAGTGAAGCTCCTAATGTGTCCCCATTACCTGGCACAATTCTTGGGACAGAGCACCAGTAAATCAAAATTAACTAAGTAGATGAATAAAGAAATCGTAAAACACAACCGATACCTTTGAGGAATCATAAGATCTTTGGCGCATGCGTGGGTCTCCCTGTGTGTGTCAGACGTGATCCCTTGTCATCAAGAAGTTGTCAACCACACATGCTCAGATACTGCAAATAGGCTGGGACATGGAGAAGGTCGCCTTATCAATCTTCATCCACAGCAAAGAAGTTCTATAAACTAAAAAAAAAAAAAAAAAAAAAAGAATTGTTTCTGATTTTTCTCAGTGTCTTCTTGTGTCATCCCAGGTGGCTAAAATGCAAACATTTTAACAAAAGTACTGTTCTCCAGAGACTAGCATAGGTGAGAAGCGGGTCACCGCCCCCAGGGCGTGTTGAGCCTATTAGCAGGACATACTATTAGCAGAGCCAGGAAGGGCTGTTAGGTGGAGTTTATAGAAGCAGGACTCAGCTGGGTGGAGCAGAGGAATACAAAGGGTAACGTGCATCCTTACCTCACCCAGCTCCAGGAGAGCAGACCTGTGTCTTCTTTATGTCCTTGGAAAAATGGAATTCAATACAAAATATAGATGTTAGTGTTTTTTAATTATTTCTTTACATATATAATAAATCTAATTATTATATAAGGAAATTAATAAAACGGACACCACATTCCACAACCCAAATGTGCCACATTGACTTTTCATCGTGACTGCTTCGAAGTTGTTCTTTTAAAGAAAAATAAATTGCAGATAAAGCTAGGGGCACTCACTTACCTTCCTCCCATCCCTCCCCTCACCCATCTTCTCCTGAGATCATCACTAATTTGGTGTGCATTGCTCGATTCACTATGCTGCTACGTGTGTGTATCTATAAACAATAAATAACATTGTTTGTTGTCATTTTGTATTTTACAAAGTGGTCCCAAACTGTATCCTAACACATAGTGCATCAAGGACAATGTTTCTGAGGCTGCTGTTGATTCGCAGGCAGATCTGGTTAGTTTGTTTTGACTCCCAATGTGTTTTTCCATCCCATGAATATTTACGTTTCCTGCGATTACCAATATATTTGAATTTATTTCCACCATTCTTATTTTGTGTTTTTTTCTATTTATGCCTTTCCTTTCCTGCCCTTTGGCGGTATGGGGGTGGGAAGGGTGAATACCATGTTTTCTTTATTATCTCAGTTTCCTCTAACCATCTAAGAAATTACAGATTCTGTTTCTTTTCTTTTAATTTATCTTAAATCGTTAATGCTGCATGGTTGCCATCAAGAAAATATTAGGATATTAAAATGTTTTAACCCTGAATCATTTTCTCCCATCTTTCATGTTATTACTGTCTAAAATATTAGTTCCCGGGGCGCCTGGGTGGCTTAGTCAGTTCAGCGTCCAACTCTTGATTGCAGCTCAGGTCATGATCTCACAGTTCGTGGGTTCAGGCCCTATATCGGGCTCCATGCTGAAAGTGCAGAACCTGCTTGGAATTCTGTCTCTCTTCCTCTCTCTTTGCCTCTCCTGTGCTCTCTCCCTCTCTCTCTGAAAAATAAATAAAAGTAAACTTTTAAAAAAAATTTAAAATAAAAAATAAATAAAATATTAATTCCACATCTTTAACCACAAAAATATAATCATTTAAAAAAATTTGTGTCAAAGTTTATTTAGATTTGCTCACATTTACTAGTTGCTTTGCTGACCTTTGTATCCTTACTTCTCCCTTCTTTCTTCTGAACTGAATCTTCCTCTCCTTGAAGCACACCCCTTAGTGACTCAGCAAGAATCAGTGAGTGATTGTTTTAATCATCACCTAAGTATTTTGGGGCCGCCTGGCCAGCTCTGTCAGTGGAGTGAACGACTCTTGATCTCAGGGTGGTGAGTTCAGCCCCCATGTTGGGCATAGAGATTACCTAAAAATTAAAAAAAATTAATCATTATCTAAGTGTTTTTATTTTTTCAATGTTTTATTTGCCCCATCACGCCTGAATGATAGTTAGGTAGGATAAAAATCACCCAATACTGAAGGCTGCAGTCCTTAACCTCTGGTCTCTGCACATGGCTGCTTACCCATTTAGACATATACCAGATGATCTCAAAGATTTCTTCTATTCTATTCTATTACCGTATGAGAAAAAAAAAATAATAAAGGAAACCGTTCTATTTCCTTAAACCCATTTCCTATTCTAATAAATAGGTGTGTTGCCTCTTCTATCACATGGTTTAATTTTGAATAAGCGAGGCTATCATGAAAATTTCAGTAATTCAGATAAAGGTAGAGGAAAATAGGTAGCGGGATTTAAGACCAGGACAGACTAACGTTCCCTTTACCTTTTCCCCCAAAGTGTGGAATCGTACTCACGACTCCAGCCTGGGACCTGCACGTTGTGTTTAGTGACAGGGACAATCTGTTGTGTTTTGGAAGTGGTCCCTGTTTCTTGAGTCTATGCCCAGTATGTTCGCTGGGAATCGAAGTTCCTCAAAACCTCATTTCTCACAGCTGTGTATTCAGTGGGCCCAGACCCCTCCGGCTGAATAAGAAGACTAGAAACAGACTCACCCACATATAAATGGTAACTTGGAACCCAACAGCAGTGGTATTTGAAATCACTGGGAAAGAAAATTCAATTTAAAATATACGACTCGGACAATTGGCGTCATGCACAAAGTGATAAATTAGACCCTACCTCATGTAAAACAAATCGCAAATGTGAAAAACAGTATGTTAGCCCTTTTGGAAGAAAATGTAAGAGAATGCAATTTGCTGATACTACAGTAGGAAAGCAATTCATAAGGCCCATAAAAACACAAACTGTAACGTTTGTAACATAAACCTGTAAAGGTTACATTTTACAAATTACAGTGGTAACCTCTGGATATAAAAAGAGGTCCATAAGAAAAATAAAAGGAGAGCCACAGAGAAGCATATAATCAATAAAGATTAATGGACTAAGATAAAGAAATATTACAAAAAAAATTTTTAAGACAGTCATGTTAAAATGGGCAAAGGATATGATCAGGGAATTTACAGAAACAAAAATGGAAACATCCAATGAACTTATAAAAAGATCCTCAGGATCCAGGGCGCCTGGTGGCTCAGTCAGATAAGCATCCAACTCTTGATTTCGGCTCACGTCATGATCTCACAGTTTGTGAGATCGAGCCCTGCACTGCTCTGTGCTGACAGCACAGATCCTGCTTGGGATTTTCTCTCTCCCTCTCTCTCTCTCTCTGCCCCTCCCCACTCGCATGAGCGCGCTCTCTCTCTCTCTCTCAAAATAAATAAACATTAAAAAATTTTTTTGAAGATATTCAGGGGAAGTGAAAATGAAAACAACATTAAAATATGATTTTACACCCTTAAAATTAAGGGTGTAATAATTAAGAGTCTGATAATACTAAGTGTGAACATGTCAGGAATAAAACTAGCAGAAGTTTTTGCTAACAGAAGTGTAAATCAGTTCAGTTGCTTTAATGAACAATTTGACAGTATTTTGTAATATTCAAAGCTGCTTGTTTTCAACTCAGAATTATATGCTGAGGAAAAAATTAGGGAGTCACATGTTCACAAGACATCATATAGAAAAATATTAATTGCAGCATTGTTTATAATATCATAAATTAAACATATGTTTCCACCATTGGGGGAATGGATAAATAAACCAATGGGATACTATGTAGTAGTTAAACCAATATTAATTTTATAATTAAAAAAGGTAAATTACAAAGAAGGATACCATGATGCTACTTCTATATATTTTAATAACAAAAATGATACCATATATTGTTTCAGACACCTGCAGTTATGCTAAGAAGTATGAAAACATGATGGGAAAGGTACACACTAGATTCAGGACACATGATTACCTCTGAGAACAGAAACAAAATGGGGTGAGGTGCTTGGCTGGCTCAGTTCAGTGGAGCATGTGATTCTTGATCTCGGGGTCATGAGTTCAAGTCATAGAGACTACTTAAAAATAAGATCTGAAGGAAAGAGAGGGAGAGAGAGAAAAGAAGGAAGGAAGGAAGGAAGGAAGGAAGGAAGGAAGAAAACAGGATGAAGAGGGGTAAACTGTGCCCATATCTTCTACTTCATTCTTTCTCTCTTTTTCAAAGATTCCACTATACATATGTTAGATCATACAGTAATCCTATTCTGAAACCAGAGTTATCAATGAATGAAGACCTGAATGTGCTTCTCTGTCTCACACTTAGTGCTTCCTACTCTTCATCATCAACTTGGGGAGATTTCTTCCCAACCAGAGACTTGAACTTCAATCAGGATCCCAGAAGAATCTTGGCTCTTCTGGTGCTGGCCTTCTTTCCCAGGGTCTTGAGATAGCCCTGAGGTACTGTATTAAATACCATACCTAACCCCAAACTGTGTTCTTCAGACACCAAGAAACTCTGTCTCAATGAATTCAGGATGATCTGCTACTTCATAGCGAGTTTCCAATGCACTGAATACCCAAAACCCCAGAGTTTGAGGGCAGACTTTGTTTCCCTCTTTGCTCAAGATAGTAAATGTTATTGACCTGCTATGTTAGTTACCTATTGAGGCATGAAAAATTATCCCAAAATTCAGCAAATTAAAACAAGACACAATTAAATCACAGTTCTGGAGGAGCAGGAAGCCAGGCACTGCCTGACTGCGCCCTCTGCTTCAGGACCTCTCACAGAACAGAAGTCAAGTCAACTCAAGGTTCAACTGGGGCAGGACATACTTCCAAACTCCGCTAGTGTTTGTTGGAAGGACTCTGTTCCTCACAGGTATTGGGCTGAGGGTGTCAGTTCTTTGCAAGATAATATTGACCACAAGCCACCCTCAGTTCCCGGCGCCATGGGCCTCTCCAACATGGCATCCAGCTTCTTCAAAGCATAAAACAGAAGACAAGGAAGGGTATGAGAGAGGGTCAGCAAGAAAGCCCTCGCAAGGTAGAAATCACAGTCTTTTGTAACTTAATAATGGAAGTGACATCCCATTACCTTTGTCATATTCTGATCATGGGAAGCAGGTCACTAGGTCCAGAAAGAACACATGAGGAGGAGGTAACGCGAAGGAGTAAAGTACCAGGAGGTGGGGAACACGGGGAGCTATCTTAGAGGTCTGCCTACCACACGGGTCCTTACCATCAGCCCAAAAATCCTCTTCCCAGTTCTTCCCAGGAGACCTAACAGGACCTCGGGCGAACCAGACTCCAAATGACCCTTCTGCTGTCCCTGATGCATGGCAGGCCACCCACACTGATTTCTACTTTCCAAAGTTGTCCCACTGTCCCCTGCTTGTCACATAATCAAATTTAGCCTATGCTTTCATACGATGAAAATGGCAGACAGACACAAGGGAAGCTTATCCGAAGTTAAAGAAGCATTAAGGATGCTGCCAGTTTCCAAAAGAAATTCTATCTCCTGGTAAAAATAAAATCCTTATTTGGCTTGTCCAATATGCTTGACCCACAGCCCAACAAAGGCGTATGCCTGTTCACGCTCACTGAAGCCACACTGTCTTCCCAAAAGAGTGATGTCGGCCCGAGGCTGTAGCTCAGCTCCTACAGAGGG